AGTTAATGATTGTTTGTAAATACTTACTAATTAAAATTTTTTAAATAAATTCCGGTACACTGAAATTGTTTTGATGAAGAAGGTTAGGGGTGGATTCGGGATTTTTTTAGAAAAGTATTCCCCAGTATTTTTCCCACAGTATTTTTGCGCAGATCTCTCTGCGAGCCTAACTACAACTTAACAGACACGATTTTGATTTGCAAAAATTGTATACGGACGTTTTTTCCCCTCATGTCTGTATTTTGATTTGTCAGTATTTTGATTTGTCTGTATTTTGATTTGTCGGTATTTTGATTTGTCTGGATTTTGATTTGCCGGTATTTTGATTTGTCTGTATTTTGATTTTTCTGCATTTTTGAATTTTGTCTTTATTTTGATATGTCTGGATTTTGAATTTCCGGATTATGAATGTAACCGGGTTGGGCAATACCATGGAAATATATTCAATCTAATATCAAAATTGATAAAAGAGCAAGTTTTTGTAGAAACTAAATTTGAAAAGGTGCTTAGTGGAGAAAAACAAGCTAAACGGCGATGCCTGGAAAACAGAGAACATTTTATTAAAACAATTGTCNCATTTAAAACAATTGTTATGGAAAGGGAAAACTATGCTCCCAAAGAATACTTAGCCAATATAGCTAAGCATCTCAATTTAATATAAGTAGTTAATGATTGTTTGTAAATACTTACTAATTAAAATTTTTTAAATAAATTCCGGTACACTGAAAATGTTTTGATGAAGAAGGTTAGGGGTGGATTCGGGAATTTTTTAGAAAAGTATTTCCCGATTTGGGGCGGTTTGAGGAGTATCAAAAGAAAGAGCGCAATTCCTTGATCACGGAAACCGGCTACAGTGGCCACAGTATTTTTGCGCAGATCTCTCTGTGAGCCTAACTACGACTTAACAGAAACGATTTTGATTTGCAGAAATTATATAAATTTTTTCCCCTCATGTCTCTATTTTGATTTGTCAGTATTTTAATTTGTCGGTATTTTGATTTGTCTGTATTTTGATTTGTCGGTATTTTGATTTGCCGGTATTTTGATTTGTCTGTATTTAGATTTTTCTGCATTTTTGAATTTTGTCTGTATTTTGATATGTCTGGATTTTTAATCACCGGATTATGAATGTAACCGCAATTTAANTGTCGGTATTTTGATTTGTCTGTATTTTGATTTGTCGGTATTTTGATTTGCCGGTATTTTGATTTGTCTGTATTTAGATTTTTCTGCATTTTTGAATTTTGTCTGTATTTTGATATGTCTGGATTTTTAATCACCGGATTATGAATGTAACCGCAATTTAAGTTGTATGCGCCGGGAACGAGAGCTAGATCTGACAATTTTCCGGTTATTCACCGTTGGAATTAGTTTGCCATCGACGAGAATACACAGCTTTCGTCCATGTGGTAAAATAGTTGCCGAGAGGGTTAGGCTCCTTGCAGTGAAGACGCGAAAAAATGTAGAGTAGTAACCGTTTATATTTAAGCAAAAGTCATCAATTTCATTTCCGGACGCATTGTAATTTGTTTTTGTCTGGATTGTGTCTTGTCAGGATTTTGAGTTGTCGGGATTTTATCTTGTCTGAATAATGTGTTATCTGATTTTATTTGGTCGGGATTTTGTTATGTCTGTATTATGTCCTGCCTGGATTTTGTATTGTCTAGATTTTCAAAAATTGTCTGGATTATGTCTAGTCGGGATCTTCAATGTCGGGATTATGGAGTGCTCCCATAATCCAGACAATTTTTAAAAATTCGGACAATACAAGATCCAGACAGGACATAATACAGACATAACAAAATCCCGACCAAATAAAATACAGATAACACATTATTCAGACAAGACAAAATCCAAACAACTCAAAGTCCCGACAAGACACAATCCAGACAAAACCAATTACCATGCGTCCGGAAATGAAATTGATAACTTATGCTTAAATATAAAGTGTTACCACTCCAAATTTTTTCGCTTCTCCACTGCAAGGAGCCTAACCCTCTCGGCAAACATTTTACCACAAGGACGAAAGCTGCGTATTCTCGTCGATGGAAAACTAATTCCAACGGTGAATAACCGGAAAATTGTCAGATGTAGCTCTTTTTCCCGGCGCATACAACCGAAATTGCCAACAAAGTACAGATCCGTAGTCTTCAATCCGGCAGTACTTGGCCAAAGACAAAAAAACCGTGTTGCAAACATACAAAGCCGTCAGGTTCTAAATTATGCAGCACCTGTATGCTCGCCGGGGATGAGGAAGAGGAAGAAACCGTAGAGCACTTCATCTGTAGCTGCCCAGCTCTCGCCAGGAGGAGAGCAGGCTTTTTAGGTAGGCCCTTCTTTAGCTCTCTTACGGAACTATCATGCGTAAGAATAAAGCCAATCCTACGCTTTATAAGAGCTTCGAAATGGTTCTCTGAAGATTAGTCACAGAGGTTCCCGTGTTCTGCAGTGGTATCATAATGGACCTTCAAAAAGGTCTAAGTGAGTTGGTAATTCGAACCGACTGCCACATCAACCTAACCTAACCTATGCTCGCCGGGGACAATTGGTTCGCAGTGGACGAAACTAAAGACATGCCACAATACAACACCCTGGACAACCAGAGGATGCCTTCTGATGTCGCCAGAACATCACATCCACAGTGAAGCCGAAATTCTCCTAGTAAGGTGCCACAGTTCTCAGCACTCGAACTTGCTTCAGCTGAAGGACCAGGTCCAGCACTACGCACAGCACCCCTGGGACTGTGAATTTTCAGACAGGCTATTAACGGTATTTACAAACTCCAGTCAAGTGAATGCCGTCATCAGTGCCAATCACCACCTGTGAACGAGAGTGAGCTTCAACTGGTTGTATAGAATCCCGAAAGACACAATCCAGACACGACCATATCCCGACCAGACATAATCTGTATTTCGGTATTTTGTATATCGGGATTTCATTATACACCCCTCGGCATTTTTGATAATCAGAGTTTGGGCGCTCCTCGCGGTCGCTAGCGGCCACAAACACCTGCGAGCGGAGTGATGTTCTTGGTGGTGGTGTGCATGCAAACCTGTAAATAGTAGTATGCCGAGTATCGTCGGGTCGGTTATGCGATAAAGGAGTGTATAATTGTTATTTTGGGGGAAAGGCACGCATGGTGATTTGAGGAGAGACAAGTTTACGATCAAGCAGTGTGTGGTATAAGTGGTAACAAATCACAATAGTGGTATAGGATTACTCCGTCGTACTGGGACTGAGTTGAAGTTCGGCCGGTGGAAAAACACATAGTTTCCCTTCGATGCGTTGACGAGGACGCACTCGCCGACTTTCGGCTCAATACGCGTGTCTTTCCATCGGTGCCGTTTGTGAAAGTCTGTAAGATAGTCCCCTTTCCATCGTCTGCTCAACTGGTGGTGTAGAACTCTAACCTTTTCCCACCGATTGAGTAGAGATAAGTTTTCATGGTTCTATTCAGGAAGAGACAACAGGGGGCACCCTTAAGGAAATGTCCGGAGGTGAGTGCGGTAAAATCAGAGGGGTCCTGAGACAGAAGAGAGATGGGTCGTGAGTTTAACTTGGCTTCTATTCTAATTAATAGGGTAGTAAACTCTTTGAAAGTGAATTAATGAGATCCGGCAGTATTCTTGAGATGCGTTTTGAAGCTTTTGACTGCGGATTCTCATAAAACACCCATATGTGGGGCGCCGAGGGGAATACATTTCTAGTTTGTACCTTGAGTGGCATATTTTTTGACGATTGCCCAGGACACTTCTTTCGAGAAGGTGATGAACTCGTTCTCAGTGGCTCTTTTGGCACCGACTAAGGTTTTGCCGTTGTCACTCATCATAGTGGCGGGGTAGCCTCGCCGTCCAACAAAGCGAGCAAATGCGGCCAGAAGGGCCTCTAAAGTTAGATTCGAGCATAACTCAAGGTGAGCCGCTTTTGTCGTGAAGCATATAAAAACGGCCACGTAGCTTTTCACGAGGGTGAAAGGGGCCAGCAAAATCAACACTTGTTGTGGTGAAGGGCGGAGCGAAGGTGCATCGTGAGGGCGCCAAGGTTGCCATTATCTGCAAGCGCATTTGCTGCTTGTGGACAACGCGGGATTTGCATTGAAAAATGCACTTTTTTATGACTGGCTTGAGCCAAGGGATATAAAGCTCCTGTCTGATCGCCTGCTGCATAAGACGGGTTTCGGCGTGTAAAAGTAGTTCATGCAGGAAGCGCAAAAAGAGTGCAGCATATCGGGATTTCTCGGGAATAATGATGGGGTGACGTTTATTGTAGCTTAACGTTGAGTGCGCCAGTCGACCGTTCACACGTAGAAGTCTATCTTTGTCCAAAAATGGGTTTAATGTGAGAAGTGGGCTCTGTTTATCGATCGGCTTCGAAGCTAACGAATTCCCCTTTTCATTGGGGAAATATCGGGACAGAGTTAAGGCGATGAGTTGGAGTTTGGTGTTTCGGAAGTCATCGTACGCAAGAGGTAAAGGTTGAGCTAATATGTGGCTTTTTGGGGTCTTCAGGAGTCAAAACCCGGAGTGTGCGTGGGAAGGAGAAGAAACGATCCATAATGTCGGGTTCTTCTTCGGTTGTATGTAACGCTTCGATTCGGCGTACTTCGGGTAGACTGATGGTTGTGCATCGTGAAGCTTTTGTCCAGAATTCCTCGGGGCTGGTGAGCCTTTCCGGGCCCTTCCACCACAGTGAGGAGGCTGCCAAGTCGAGAGGTTTACATCCTCTTGTGCCCATGTCGGCGGGATTATCGTGAGTGCGTACATGCCTTCACGTGGCATTTCCGACCAGGTCAATTATTTGCGCGGTTCGATTCGATACGAAGATTTTCCAGGTATGGTGTGGCTTTTCTAACCATGTGAGCACAATTTCGGAGTCAGTCCACAAAATCAAAGCTTGCGGGTGGAGATTCAGCTGGGATTGGACGACAGATACTAATTTGGCTAAGAGAGCCCACATAGTTCGAGACGTGGTAAGCTGGTGGTTTTAGCGGCGCCACTTTTCCTTTAGAGACCTGGAGGTGACAAGTTACGTTTTCTCCTGTTGGCGCAATATGCCTTCTCAGACGCGTCGAAAAAACCATGCAGCTCAATAGGTTGGCCTGGCGAGTACCACCCAATGATAAATTTGGATTGCTGTTATGGCTTTTAAGTTGTTTGCGAACTGCGTCCACTTAACGAGACGGATGGGTTTTACCTAATCATCCCAGTCGGTTCCATCAAGCCATAGCTCCTGCAAGAGAATTTTGGGGATTTTGGGGGGAGGAGAGGATCTGTCGCTTCGTGCTCGCCGTGGTTACTGGGATGGATTCAACGATATACGAGAACGCATCTTTTATGGCATTCCATTGAAGCCCGAGCGTTTTCGGCGCTGGGGTGCGAGATGGACCTAAGGCGAGTTGCTCTGGGAAGCTGTATTTAAACGGGAGTCGCACTTCGTAACGACCATCAGATGTGCGTGATATGGTGGATATATAAAAGTCTTCACACACTCGGTCCTCAGAGTTGAGAGATTTGGGAGTGGGGACTTCTTCAAGTTCCCGAAATTTTCGAAGTTGGGAATCGAGATTCTCATTTGCGACTTGATCTACTTGGGTAGAAAACGAGCTTATTTGATTATGGACTTGACCACTAAGGATCCACCCAAATATGGTGTTTTGCGCCAGCAGGTTTTTGGAGAGCTTTTCAACCCCTTCTAGCACGATTTGTGGGATCGCTGCCAATGACTAAGTCAATTTGGGATGGGGGGTGGCAATTTGCGTCTGCTAGGGTGAGATGAGACCATTTTTCCGGTTGTTCTTGAGTTGGTTGGAACTTGGGTAGCAATTTTGTTAGCTGTGGGAGGACGATTGCTTTGCCGTGTGGTCAAATCGTTTGAGACTAGAACCAGAGAGCATAATTTTTTCGAGGTTTGGACTACTCATTCGTGAGATTCCGAAATTTGAGGTTCGACATGGTAGTCTTAATTTGAGTTGTGCTTTGGAGGAGATGTAGCTCCGTTCTAATCCCTGATCAATGAGGGCTGCTTGTCTTGTTCTTCCAGAGACTGAGTAGTTTGGAGGCTGAAATTTGTGGAGATGGTAGTTGCCACTTGAGATGAGGCCCTATGCACTCGGGGTGTTGATGAATTTTTTAAGAGTGCGTCATCATGGAGTGATGAGGTGTGCCGTTCGTGGCAATGAGCACAATTGTGAGGGTTTCTGCAATCTTTAATTAAATGCGATTGAGATAAGCAGTTTATCTCTCACAAATTTTTTTCGATCCAGAATTGACAGTTTTTTGAAGCCTTGAGCAACTGTAAATGGGATGCTGGGAGGTTTTGCATAATGCACATTTATACATTGTACGCTGCTCTGTCATAGGAGATTGGATCTTTGAATGGGATTCATTGTGAGTGTCATGGGAATTATTGCTCTTAAATGAGTACGTGTTTTGTTTGGAGTAGCTTGTATGCGGGGGGATCGATTTAGCCTAGGATTGGCGCCATTGATCTAGTCTTTACACCACCTCATAGCGAGTAGTCAGAAACTGGTTATCTGGAACTAGTTGGGCAGGTCATTTCTGGAGATGATAGATTGTTCCCACAGAGTTTTGGAGGATTTGAAAGCAGTTATTTACAGAAAATTGCAATCTCTGTATATCCTCGCTATTTTCAACTTGAATTGGTTTCAAACTTATTAAGCATTTTACTTGGTTATCTACCAGACTCTGCGATTTTTATATCGCGCTCTTAGGGCTTCCCATTGCCAGTTCGAAGTTGTCACGACTTAACGGAAATCGTTTGACTATTTGGCCGGCTTTGCCTAGCGTTTTGTACCGGAGGTGGTACAATTTCTGAGCTTTTCTGAGTTTTGGGTGGTTAATTTAGACCGCGGTGAACATATCACGGAAGGACGGCCACTGTTCATAACCCTCGTAAAATACCTCAGTGTCGCAGGGATGGACTGACTTTGAACCCGATTCCAAATTTATCGCAATTATTGTCTTTTATTTTTAGACTTGACTCGGTGTTGTCTTGGATTGGGGTGGACTTGAAGCGAGTACAGTAGCCCATGAAATTATCTGTTTCTGAGATAAATTTAATAGAAGCGAACGATTGCTTCGATTTCTTCGTGGTTGACTTTCCACTTGTACGCGTTGGGCGTTGGGACTCCGAGGAAATACCTTGGGCTTTTTCATCGTTACTGCTCTTTGGGGTTTTTGATTTATCTATTTGAGGGGCACCAAGCAATTATTAATTCAAGAGAAAAAGGGAGTGAGTTGATCAGTTATGAGCAATAAAACGACCGCAATATAGTGTTCGCAACACGAGAAGTGAAGGAAAAATGTGCCGATTCGAAATATGTGTTCGTACCACTATTCCCGTTTGAACAAAAAAAAATCAGTCACCGTAACGCACCTTTGTTATATGTGAATATATAATGTATATATGTATATAAGTATATATTAATACTTTATGAGGGGTTAGAGATAAGCTGATATTTGTGGAGTTTAACTATTTAATATCTAAGTGAACGTTTGCATGTGTGCATATATTTATGCGCGCTCATACATTTATCAAAATTTATATGTATGTGTGGAAAAAATTAGAGAGCAAGTAAATACTCGCATATATATATATCGTCGTTTAAAGTACAAAACCGCGTATCGTCATTCTGCAAAACCGCGTAACTGACATTGGCTGCAAAAAATTGGATTTGCTCACACAAGCTCTTGGCTCAATCCTTATCCATTCATCCTGAAATATACTAGCCAGAAATATGATTGCTTTATAAAAACCGAGAACCATTTTTTTCTATACTGGTATGGTTCCCTGATGGCTACGAATTACCAAAACTGCAGCTTGCGGGGGGGCCGCGTTAGTTGCGGGTGGCCGAGCGGCGGATATCGGGTGGTGCTGGCTGGAGGGTATGGGCGGCTGGAAGGTGATGCTTTGGCTTTGCTGGACGGCGCTGGCGGCTGTTTGGCGATGGCTATACGTTGGCGGCTGGTAAGTGGCGACTTCACGGCCCTGCTTGGAGTGGGCTCAATGGAAGTGCGACACAAAGATGCGGTAGCTGGAGACCGATGACTGTAATCGGCGACGGTTGGACCTTAGGGGTGCTGTTGGGACACAATAATACCCGCGACCGTCGACCTGCAAAATCGGAATTTGGTTTTCACTTTCCGAAATGAAAACTAACTACCAATTTACAATTGAATTCAACACTGGTTTATTTATTGATACTTCGAATTAATAAAACTTAATCGGCGATCTAAAATTTGCGCGGCACAAAGATGCGATCGAGTGGTAGGTAAAAAGTTCTTTTATACAACGTTTTCTTTATAATTTTTTCAACGAGATGGCTGTTTATGTGTATCTTTGACAGATGGCGATCGTTCATGTGAGCGAGTAGCGCACGCGTTGCCAACTACCCGGTCGGCTGACAGGGGTGTTCACGTTACGAGCTAATTGTTATGAGTTTAAAAAGTTACATTTCATAAAAATAGTTCAAGTCTAGATAATTCAATAAATACAAATGGTTAATGCGGGGTGCGTGCGCTAGTCACTCACTTGAACATGTATAGTTTTCAAAAGACCGAAATGGTGCACAAGAAATGTTATGTACCATTGACAAAAGAGGGCTTCTGCTTCCTTTCTCAGGCAAAACAGAAAGGATATCTCTACTTAGTAAGGGTTATAATCCATAAGCACGACCGAAGGAATATTGTAATTACATATACAATTTCGCGAAAATATTTACTTAATACATCGCAAGTGTTCAAGAAGTAATTAAAAGTTTTAAGTTGTGTTCGTTTACTCCATTTACTTGCGTGAAATTCATCAAAATATAGTGCGAAAGGTGCAAGTGTTTTCTGCAAATAACGTTTGAATTAATTAAAAAAGTAAATTTGTACCACCCAGACCACAATCAGGTCGTACGCCAGAACACTTTTACATATTTGCACTTGAAACTTTTATATATTAGTCCGGTCAAATTAGACCAAATATAGGAGTGAAATTACAAAAATTTCCACCTAGCTGAAAATTGGTAGGATTATTCAAAACACCATCATAAAGGAAAATAAATGTCCTCATCGATCCGATATCTGGAAAAAAAATACTCGGGGTCAAAGGTCACAAAAACGGGGTATTCGCGATTTTCAGCAAAACGGTAAGTTTATCATAAAATTACTTTAGACAAAAATAATATATCACATAATTATCTATAAAAAATGTCTAAATCCTTTTTGTCCTAAGAGCCACCGTTTCCGAGATATAACGGTTCAAAAAGTTGGAAGAGTTGTAATCGTCTTAATATGCACACGTTTCCACGCTACCATTGTTGTACTTATAAATATTTTGCTGAAAATCGCGAAAAACCCGTTTTTATGACCTTTGGCCCCGAGTATTTTTTTCCAGGTATCGGATCGATGAGGACATTTATTTTCCTTTATGATGGTGTTTTGAACAATCCTACCAATTTTCAGCTAGGTGGAAATTTTTGTAACTTCACTCCTATATTTGGTCTAATTTGACCGGACTAATATATAAAAGTTTCAAGTGCAAATATGTAAAAGTGTTCTGGCGTACGACCTGATTGTGGTCTGGGTGGTACAAATTTACTTTTTTAATTAATTCAAACGTTATTTGCAGAAAACACTTGCACCTTTCGCACTATATTTTGATGAATTTCACGCAAGTAAATGGAGTAAACGAACACAACTTAAAACTTTTAATTACTTAATTAATTAATATTTTAGATTTCATTTATGATGGTGTTTTGAACAATCCTACCAATTTTCAGCTGGATGGGAATTTTTGTAACCTCGAATGTCTAAATTGACCGGACTATATGTACATATCCTGACCTATACCTGAAACGCAAAAAGGCGTAACAACATCGCAACTGAAATGGAAAAAGTCGTGCCTAACATTTTTTTGTTATAAAATGATGTGGGGAGTTGTAATTCGATGAAATTCATCATATAAATTAAAGAGTGAGTTTTGAATTTTTTATTAGTTATGACTTTTTGCATTTCAGCGATGATGTTACTTACGTCTTTCTGCATTTCAGGTGACGATATATTAAAAAGTCGAAGTTTTTGATATAAAGTTTGTTGATTTCCCAAAGCTAGAAAAGTGGTTTATTAGAATCAACAGCAAAAGGAAACAAATTACAGAAACGACAATATTTACGCGAGATCCTTCAACACTCTTATAAAATGCAGCACAATTCAATTCGTAGCATCTTAAAAAAAAAGCATTTTATCCTTTTCAAAAATTTTAATGGGTAATTTATAAGAGTGTTGGAAGATCTTGCCATTTATGTTGATGTTTTTGTATTCTTTTCTTTTGCGGTTGATTCTAAGAAATCACATTTCAGCTTTGGGAAATTAATCAAATTTGTATCAAAAACTTCGATTTATTACTACTTATACATATATACATATGTATGCACATATATAAAAGTTTCAAGTGCTAATATTAAACAGAGTTCAGGCGTACGAATTAATTGTGGCCTGGGTAGTAAGCAAAAGTACATGATGCTGTAATTACTTTTTCGAGACAAAGTAGAGCTTTAACCGATACTAAACGTTCTATTGTCTAAGTACTGACTCACCTTCAGCACGTTTGGTATTTCATCTATTTAGACGAGGGCTTGAGTTCAAAGCTCTATCATCAATTCCTACTTAGACGCGGTTACTATTTATATGGCATATATATTGTATTATATATCTATATCTATATAATATATGCTCTTTCATAAAGGATGGAAGTTATTAAACAAGTTGTCTACCCCATAATCCGTTGAAATGTGAATAAAAATATGAAAGGATTTCCGGTACCTTCCGTTTACACAATTAATATGAAGAAGTCTAGGTTTGCTCTGTACATTTTTGGTGTTTAGAGTCCCTATTAGACACTCCTCAATTTATGACAACAACTAAATCTATGGATTAAAACTCTTACCTTTGTTCTCGAAATTATTGTACTGCGCGAATTCGATTGATATGCTGGTACCTCGCGGACAAGCAATAACTACTTGCTCATAATCACAAGCTGCTTTTTGATATGTACGCAGTGTTGCCGATAAGAGCGCTATGTCAAGATGATTAATCGGTGGCATCGAAAATAACCCCGTCATTGACAAAACATTGTCGTTTTAATAGCGATCCATAGGTGTTGAAATATATAACATCCACAGTATATAATATATAGTCGCAGTTGATACAAACCACAAAAATTACGTTGTATATTGAGATGAAAAATATAGAAAAGAGAAAAAAATTATTAAATCTTGGTGTACTGCAACTGTTATTAAATAAACGATAACATTATTAGATATTAAACAATAAGAGATTACTCAGCTACACTCTGAGAAAAATCGCATTTTTAAATAAAAGATACAATTTTTGTTTGAGTAAAAATTACTCAAGTGGGACCCTAAAAATTGAAAATTATTATCCATCGATTATTTTATTAATTATGGATAGGTATTATTGTAGTATGATACTGTGCAAAATTTTTTCGCTGTAGTGCAAATAATATGCAAGTTATATGCAATTTATTTTTCATACAGGCTTTTGCGAAAAGCATCATTATTTATTAGCTGTTGAAGAAAATCTTGTTCTTTTTACGCGAAAACTTTAAAAATTGTCTGACGATATAAAAGCTGTAGTAGTTTTTAGAAATTTTTTTTTAATATATACGTATTATTAAATTTTTTCATAAACAATTCTTTTTTTACTTCTGGGGCTCCGATTTTGTTCGGACAAAATAAATTAAGGTTAGCAGTCGCTCGCTCTCAATAGGGAGAAAAGAAATTTTGTTCAACTTTTTTTTTTTGTTTAAGCTACAGTGTTTTTTTTTTTTTGATCGCAGTGCATATACTGTTGTGATGGACGTTCTCGTGTGTACACATTTGTTTGAAAACGGAAGATTAGAATCTTGACACATTAAATATAATATATATATTCTGTGTGAATACCTCAAAATATTGCTATTTTATTTATTTTTTATTACAGTTTGAATTGCGTAATTCTCGTCGGATGAAAAAAGTTTACAATCATAAAAAAGCATGTTTTCAATTTTTCTTCGTGATTGACGTGGTCTTCTTTGGTGCAAAATTCAAACTGAGTGTTGGTGAAGTGTGCGTGAGCCCAGTCATAGAATACTTTGGGCGTTGTTATTTGATTTCGACCTACGCGCTGTAGACTGGCTCGGTAACAGTGTTGCCACTTTAAAATATTTGTAGGTACCAAAACGCCTACCAAATCAGTCTCCAAACTACCAAAATTTGTTCATCATTAAAATGAGATTTCTCGAGTTTGCGGGGTTTTAGCTACACAAATTAGCAGTAAAATTAAAACTACGCATAATATTGTTTACAGTATTGGTTAATTATTCACAACAACCTTTAAGATCAAACAAAAGAAACTCGAGCCCTTAAATAAAATAATTAAGTTATTGTATAAAAAACTTTTGTAAAATATGTAAATATCTTGATTGATTCAATTCATATAAAAAAAAAATGTGTGCGAAAACACAAACGCAGACATTTTATGCATTTTTATAAAAAAAATTCCAAATTTGATTCAATTTGCATACACTCACCCTTTTTTACCAATACACTCACACTTTGCAAATTGCATATCACCAATTTTCCTTTCAAGACAATAGGTAATTTCTCATTAATTTCAACAGCTAATCGGTGATAGCTTTGGAAAGTGAGTTTTTGTTTGCAGAAAATTGTCTGCTTAATAAAATATCGAAAAAAATAAAGAAATCTTATACGTGTAAGCAAAGTGAAAGCAGTGTTTTCAACGTGTAAACTTAAATTAAACAAACAAATTTTAATGTTCAATTTGGTTGTATTTTCAAAACAATTTTGCCTACCAAAAGCTTCATCAAACCAAACAAGCTACCAACGGAGAATGAAGCTACCAATTTTGGTCCAATTGGACCAAAATGGCAACACTGCTCGGTAAGCACTCCTTTTTAGACATCCGCCAATACCGTCACAAGCACCCTTACCATGGGCTGTTGCAAAAAATGCCACTCAGCGTCTATACCGAAGTCGTTTTTATGTTCAATTAAGTTAATAAAATCAAATCGATTTTTATATTGTGAGCCCGCACCATCCGAAAAATAAAAATATCTTTTTCACCTCCGAAAGTTTCATGAAGGAAACCATTTTTTCATTAAATAATTGGACGCAATTGGCATCGTGAAGTATATGCTCTGATAAAACCACGAAATAGTTGTGCTTCACTTTGCCATTCTCATTGTGATGTATTACGTACACATGCAATGTCATCTGATCTTTAGACCAGTGCTGTGATTGAACTGCGTCTTGTATGTGAAAGCTGTAGTTTTCTGAAAAGTCCATGGTCACGACAAATTCCCCCTCGCCACAGACATTGTGCGTGCCTTTTGCACGAGCCAGTATGCAAAATTGTGGCCTCAGTTGTCTGAATGTTGACAAACTAATTTTGTTACTGGGATATTTTATTAAAAACTTTTGATGAAGTTCCTTTAGACTCCCTAACAAAAGTCGTTTCTAAAATATGTGTTTAATGAAATTAAGATAAATACATACATACAAATATTAGTATCTGCAATATGCCAAAATGAGTGTTTAAAAATTTACCGATTCTTGTTTTCGTATGCCATCAATTACAATTGACTTGTATTCTCTCGCTCCGGGCATTACTCTGCTTATTTCATCCAGCAGATAAAACTGTTTCACCATCTTAACAATTTCTGGATGTATATGCCGGCCACGCTTCGGATCGGGATGAGAACCAAAACCCTTCTTTGTACGTAGTTCTTTAGCCTTCGACGCCATGCGACGTGCCACTTTGAAAATTTTATTAATATTTTGATTCCCCAGTTACTTGGTAACGTTGTTAAGAGGTTCAGTTTATGCAAGCGAGTCGGAGCTTTATTAAGGGCCTCTTTCAAATCACTCACCTAAGGATCAAAAGTTGCGCTTTCAGAAAAACTGTCGCCGATGCGTTTAACAATAGCTACAGCTTTTGACACCATTCCTTTGTTCATGTCTAAAGAACATGGTAGCTCTGTTGCAGCATAAGGCTCTGCTGCTATTTTGCCCACTACGTCCAACAACTTCCTTATCTTCGTGGCCTTGTCAACTGCCATCATTATTTGATTGAACTTCATCAGAATCTTCTTTACTTTCAAAATTAGCAGGAGCTCTTTTTTCTTTTTGAATATTTTTTCATTCAAAAATAACACAAGGATTTTTCTTTATCTCCTGGTACAATAAAGACAAACGACGGGAACAAATGTAATGGCCCACGAAAGCACGGTAAGCTGGTTTCCAATTCCCCGTAACTAATTTTAATTTTGTATAAACATTGTTGTGGTTTTTCTGTGATTAAGATTGCAGCAGGAATTGGGCTTCGGCATGGTAATCACTTTTCACACGAATCGTACACTAGTAATTAATTACGGAACGAAGAAATTGGGTTTAGATTCACCTTTCGCTGACAAAAAAAAACTAATTAATCTGCAACAAATAGAACAAATTTCATTCTGGATATACTAGCGACTTGAAACTTGCACTTTATCGTACTACCATACCGAAAATTTTTCTAAAATATCGAATCGAAAAATTTTAAATTTTTTTGCGAATTTCTTGGTATTTCTTGCATTTTCTAGTTCTGTACGAGATTAAAAAAAATATTCCTGTGGTTTTTGCTGTAAGTGAACTATGCTTTTATAAAAAAATAGGAAAAATTTGGTGTAAAATATATAATTCAATAAAATCGTCAAAACGTCAGGGTATGCATATTTTTGGAGCTGAATGTACAAATATATATACGAATTCATAGCCAAATGTGATATACAGAACCAAAATCAATTATAGCGAACGTCGCGGACGTCAACTGTCCCGGAACGAAAACGAGTGTCATACCAGCGTATGCACTGAGATCGAAAAAACGCTGTAGCTCAAACAAGAAAAGAGTTGAACATAATTTTTTTTCTCCCAATTGAGAGCGAGCGACTGCTAACCTTAATTTATTTTGTCCGAACAAAATCGGAGCCCCAGAAGTAAAAAAAAAATTGTTTATGAAAAAATATATAAAAATAAAATTTTTTGTAAACTACTACAGTTTTTTTATCGTCAGACCATTTTTAAAGTTTTCGCTTAAACAGAATAAGACCATCTTTAACAGCTAATCAATAATGTAACTCTTCGCAAAAGCCTGTATGAAAAATAAATTGCAAAAATAAATAAAATGAAATGAAAAATAAACAATCGTGGTACAAAGCTCAATAAAAATATTGAAAATAAAATGTTAACAAGCCACAATAACATTGATAAATTGCATACAACTTGCATATTAATTGCACTAGAGTGAAAAAATTTTGCACAGTATCATAATACGATAATACCTATCCAAAATTAACAAAATTTTTAATCTTTATAAACGTTTTAAAAAGACCATGAAAATGTTTAAAACAAAGCAAAATATTTTTCAATTTGAAATTTTTAATATTCGATTTGGCTAAATGAGCACTTCCGCTGAAAGGGCTACATCTCGTTTCAAAACAAACAAAAAATAATTATTTTAGAAATATTTGTCATATAGAACCGCATTAACAAAAACCCGATTGGACTCAACATATATTTCTTAACAGCATTTATACCCCCGCTTATAGCGCACTCGATAACGTCGTATTCAAAAGTAAACCAAATCTGTTATTTTAAAACGATATATTTTAATAAATAATTTGTGCGGTTGACCGAAATGGAAACAAACAGTAATTGTAATTTATTATATTAATAATTCGAATTTAAAACGGGCTGTATAAAGAAAACCGGCATATTTTCACTTCAAATGAGTGATGCGTTTATAGTTACTTGTTTTCTAACTGATGTGAGAAACAAAAAACCGATTTAAAAACAAATTGAAGTCAATAGACTTTTCAATTTCAACGCGTTTTGAAATTTAGTTTATGCATCCATTTTGAATCACAGCGAACTTGGTCAAAGCGCTTTATGTGTCGGTATAAACAAGGTAATAGTCGGAGAGCAATGGTATCCGCAATTGAGGTTCAAGCTGAATTTC